GAAACGGATTCCTCTGGGACACACAGCTATGCTCCAGCTGGAAACATCTTCCCCTTTCATTCACCCCCTCCTAACATTTTGGACGCTTTCTCTACCCGAAAAGCAGAAGACCGAGGCCTAACTGCTCGGAGTAACCGGCAGTACATTGTGTATGTGAGGGGTAGTGGGGTTGGGGATGGGCGGCAGATGGAAGGGGGGAAGACAAGGGAAGAGAGGAGAAGTAGGGTGTGTGGAGGCTAGGGGAACTAAGCAGAAAACCGAACTGAGAGCAGGGTGAGGATTGCACAGAGGAAGGAGGAGGAAGAGGAAGAGGAGAAAGAGGAGGAGGAGGAGAAAGAGGGAGAACAGGAGGAGGAAGAGGTGAAGGAGGAGGAGGAGGAGACGTTCTCATTTTAGAGGTTCAAGCGAGAGTTGCTGTCGAGCCCCATTTAGGGGGGGCGGGGGCGGGAATGAAAGGATGGAGAAAGAAATTAATTGAAAGAGACGCATCCCGACCGCTCGCTGAGCTCTGCCAGTTTTCCGGCTCCTCGGTTTTTGCTCAGAGAGCCAGGGCCACAGCAAAGTTGCCGTTATTATAGGAAAAGAAAATCCCCCTGCTTCCCACCTGTTTCCCATTCCCCGCCTGCGTAGAAGGGCAGGCAAAACTAGCCAAGCCAAGAAGTGGCTCGGTGACCTTGCCACATCCCTTTCCCTCCCCCCAAGTCTAGGAAATGACAGAGAATTTCAGGCCACAAGGGCTAAACTCATCTCACCTACATGCATGTGAATTCCAAACCATGCGCTTGACAGTGCCACTCTACGCGGAAAGTGTTCACAACAGAAGGACCACAGACCTATGCCAACAAAAATGGGAAGAGACATTCACACTTCCCTCCCCTCCCTTCTCCTTTCCTCCCCTCTCTTCTCCTTTCCCTCGTAATTCCCCTCCTCTTGCCCTCTTCCTCTTTCTACTCTCTCTTTCTTTCCTTCTTTTCCTTAAAAAAAGTAACAGCCACTTCGAAAAAGAAGGCACTTTGGCTAATTATCTGCTGTAAATTCTCTCTGAAGACTTGTTCTCCATTCACCTCCTTGAGAGGGAAGCCATAAATTCTCTTTCACCTATTCCCGCCGAGGTCAATAAATATTGGGACACTCTACTCTTGATGAGTTTGTCCTGGGGCTCAAATTGGACAGAATCTCATAGGATATTTGATTTCCTCATTTATTTCTATCAGATTTCTCACTTTTTCTAAACCTAGTATCTTTCTGGATAAATATTGGAGGGAGAGAGGAGACGGGAAAATTTACTTTCAATTGACATTATGAGGAAGAACTTTTATAAACAAGACTCTGCAAATTAAAGTCAGAAAAACCCTAAACCCTAGGTTTACAATCTTCATCCTGAAGTTTTGCTGTAAAATATCATCTCATTTAAACCTTAAGTGATTACCAAATTGTAGGGCTAGAATTACAAAGGCAAAATAGAATGAAGAATTGAAATAATTTCAGTATAAACTGAGAGAGGAAAGGCTTCACTTCTTATTTAGATAAGGGAGAAGAACACTTTAAGGCCTGTCATTATTATTATTATTATTATTTCTACTATCTTTCTATAAGTCCTCAACTAAAGTACTACTCTGATGCTTCTTGGCTATAAGAGGCAACTCTCAACAGACACACACACACATACATACACACACAATATGTATGTACATATGTGCATATGTGTATATATGCACACATATATGTATGTATATGTGTGTATACACACACATATTCACCATTTAGATTCTTGATGGGGAGTGGGCAAAAAGACAAAAGAAGAAATGGTCCCTGATCTCAAGGAGCTTATGTGAGTGGTGGGGGTGGGAGGGAGGTTTAAATCATATACATAAACAAGTAAATATGAGGAGAGAGGATGCAATAACTGGTGGTATCGGGGAAGGATTCTCTTAAGTCATCCATTTGGACTAGCCAATGGCAAGTCTTGTCAGTATGAAAAGGATTGGGATACTGGCCAGTGATGGACTGTATTTCCACCATCCAAGGATGATTTTTTTTTGTCACATCAGCTTTTGAAGATTATCTACCTTGTTACAAAGGAGCTGCCATTGGCATCAGTGGAGGAAATACCCATAACCAGGGTGCCACCTAGCAGAATACTTTGAAATTCCATATCCTCAAGGTTCTCAAGTACTTTATAGCAATTATCTCTATTCAATTATCCCCAATTATTTCTACATATTTATTAGTTCTATAGAAGTTTGATATTTGTGGTTTCACCTCATCCTCAAAACAACCCTGTGAAGTTGATAGAATTAACATTGCTATCCTCATTCTAAAATGAGGAAAGGGATGGCTCAGAGATTACAGAATTTGCTGTCACCTGGAAGGCTGCCCAAAGCTAGATCTTCTGATTCTATCTTGGGCTCTTATAAATTCAGTAAAATTCACTAAGAATTGGGACTAGGACCCATCACCGTCTGTGAAAATCCAAACCCACGGTTTCAAAGAATCTGTCTGTACCACCAATTTAACCAAACCAGGGAAAAATTTCCACAGCCAACCCCAATGGACAAGACTCTTTCTTTTGACCTCTGTAATCCTCACTCTGGAAAACAAATTTCCACATTTCATAGTTTGCTTAACTTCCACGCCTTACCACCAAAGATGTGGTGAGGTTGCAAACAGGAGTCCAGGATTAGCTTAGAATCTTTTCCTCACCTTTTAGCATTTTTACTCTTTTCTTGATGTATTTGGGTCTTCCTTTTTAGAAATCAAAAATGTACCAGATCTGAATTGTTAAGGAATCTCCTAGATATTAGTCTCACTAAAACCAAAGGGTCCATAGACACAGTGACCAGAAAACTCTCAGGGAAAACTTCTTCCCTTCTCTCTCTCCATTTTTCTATGATTCTCTGAGTTAAATAGGTTAGGAGAATGCTTGCTATGAGAAAGTTCTAGGGCAGCTTCCTGCACACACACAACTGCCTTCTCTCCCCCATCCCAATGCCACCTCACACAATTTCCAGATTTCATTATTTTTCAAACAGTAGGGTCATGATCAAGTTTGATAGAACTCAGAGCCCTGAGAATTTAGGAAGAGGGGTTGGAGTTGTGGAAAAAACCCTTGATTAGGCATAAGGATACTTGGATTTGAGTTCTGATTCAGATGCTTCCTAGCTTTGTGAGCTTGGACAAGTTACCTAACATTTCTGAATTTCAGGTGCCTTATCAGTAAAATGTGGCAGTGACAATAATATTAACAGCACCTACTTCACAGAGGCACTTTGAGAAAACTACTTGGTAAGCCTCAAGTGTGTTATATATAAATGTGAGTTACATTTTCTTTTCCTGAGGCTAAGGTATCTTTCAAACTCATTAAATTATGAAATTTGCTCTCTCTCTGTCTCTCTTTCTCTCTCTCTCTCTCTCTCTCTCTCTCTCTCTCTCTCTCTCTCTCTGTCTGTCTGTCTGTCTCTCTCTCTCTCCCCCCACTCTTTTTATGTGATAGAAAGGGGAAATTAATTAGACAATATCAAAAGCCTAATAGCTTCATAATGTACCTTCTGAATTTGGGAAAACAGGTGCACCCAGAAAGTTAAAAGTTTACTTTTCATTCCAACCCAGCAAACCATGTTAACATCAGGATCCCATTAAAACTTAATCCCGTTTGCCTCTAGAAAGGTGCAAAATGGTTAATCTTCTGCTTTCAGATAACTCTGAAAGTAGAAGCAGGTGTCTTTTAGGGGAAAGGAGAAGGGTAACTGAGAAAGCCCCAGAGTCCATCCTGAGATAATTTTTGAAAGGATTTCAGCAGCACATATTAATGTTGCGTAGATATCTACACTCCAGTGACTCCAGAGCTCCAGAGGGTGATTTAGAGAGAGCCACTATAAAGGGTAAGGGGCCAAGGGGGTGGGGTGGGGGTTGAGGGGGGTGGGAGAACACAGGGGAAGATAACCCTTCTATTAATTAGTCATATCCTCTATGGAGCGTAAGGACTTCTTGCTGCTTCCATTAGATGGCGCTAAAGACTTTGCAACCTCTTGTAAAATGTGTTATTGTCCGAAACAAAAAGAAACGACATACAAAGGGAAAAGAGGGAAACTGGGGGGTGGGGTGGGGGAGGGGATGCATACTACATACACACATGATTGATAACATTAATATGTAAAGTAAAATACTGTATTGAAATGTATGATTAAAGTGGTGAGGGAAAAACAGGAGCCCTCAAGCAACAAGGCCCACTTTCAAGTTATGTGGTACTAACTTTTGCTTCCCTCTTGCTCTCTTCTCTTCTCTTCCCTTCTCTCTTTTTTCTTTTTTTCTGTATTCTTACTCCTCTTCCTCCTCCTTTTCCTTTTCCTTTTCCTCCTCCTCCTCCTTTTTTTCCTCCTTCCCTTCCTCCTTCTCTCTCCCTTCCTCCCTTCCTCTCCCCATCTTTTTTAGCTTATGCTAGATTACTTCCTCTTCTAAGCCTAAAAGAGAGCACAGAGACCCTGTGTAGGATGCTGAAGCACAAAGACCCAGGATCGCCAGGCCTAGAAAAAAGTAACTTTCCTCCTGTAAAACGTGTTATTGTCCAAAACGAAAATAAATGACATACAAAGGGACATCCCTAGGGACACCAGCCATGTCAGAGTGGCAGGTTTCAGAACGCCTGTATTTGTCTACCATTAAAATATTAAAAGGAGAAACTCTGGAGGGAAGAAAACAGAGGTTAATGCTATGAGAAGATGTGGAACTTCAGTTTAGATTCAAACCTCCAATCCTGACCTACCTTCGAAGAAAATATTTTAAAGGGGGCAGATGACACATGCTAGTGCGGTTTCTTCGTGTGTTTGAAAGTTTACTTTGTTAGTATACTTTATTTTAAGTCAGCTCTATACTCCAGGAGTGTGTTCAAGTTATTCAGGAGTGTATAACGTTGTAGAGACAAAAGTAATGACACCTACATGAATTATAATCGCTTTTCAGGTTTTCCTCCTAAGTCTGCGGGGCATGTGGAAAAAAATAGTTGCAAAATAACTATTTAGCTAGCAGTCTCCTAAAGAGTGTCCTCAACACACCCACCGCTCCAGGCCTCCTCCTTAAACTACTTCTCCAACAACCGGAATCCGTCTCTAAAGTTTCTGTCTGGCGATCTGCGCGCATAGGTTCAAACCTAGGAAAATGGGATCCAAACACAGGGAGGAAGAAAAAAAAACGTCCTTTCCCCTTTGGCTGTGAACTTTCCCTTCTGGTAAGTTCTCCTTTAAGAAATGAACTGTTCCCTATGAATATTTAATGCTGTTTGTCTGAAGTATCCAGATGACGCGTACTGGAGCCTGCCTCACATACAGGTCCTGAATTATGGTGGAGTAAATCAGCACCCTCTAAACGCACCCACCGCAATGAGTTCTGGTGGCATCCAGTTGCTAATGCTATTAAGCATACGTATTCCACACGAGAGAAAAGAAAAGGTTGGGAGAGGAAAAAGGAGGAGGGGGAAGGGGGATTAAAAAGAGGAAGAGGTTGAAGGGAAAGAGGCTGGGGCAGGGGAACCCAGGCTTAGGAATGAGTAAGATATTTTGTTCATTTCCATAAGAAAGCTGAAATCACAGTTGGAAGCAGGATTTCTTGCCCCAACAGCCCCCTTTTCTGCAAGAAGCAGGCTCGCGAGCTCAGAACCATAAGTGTGTACTTTTGTCTTTGATTGTGTAGATAAAATGTGGTTTCATATTTTGCTCAAAATGAGACCGGTTTCCTGTCTGTGTATCGAGTGGAAGAACACCGCAAGGGTAAGTCCAAAGCTTGGGTTAGCTGGCGAGGGAAGGGGGTGGGGGGATTGGGGGCTGGGGATGGGGGAGAGAGAATGGAGAAGACCAAGCAGAAGGATCTTAAACTTCTAGATCACTCCTAGACCGAGAGGACACAAACGAAGATGAAATAAACTGAGTTTAATAAATAAATGGGGGTGGGTCCTCAAGACTGTTGAGAAGGTTATGAATGATCTAGTGACCCTTCCCAGAAGAGAGAGAGAAAATGAGAGTGTCAGAAGACTCCTTACCCAGTTGATCTTCAAATGGGAGGGAGATAGTTTCTCTGCTCCTTAACCAACCCCCTTCCTGCGAATGAATAAAGTTAACTTTCTCTGTTGCTTGATTCCAAATGCGGCTTGGAATTTCTACTTTCGCATGAAGTTACTTTTCAGTGTGAACAGCAGACATGTGTCCTCAATTCTATAGTATATAAAAAAATCTACTAGGTGCTTTATGATTCCATCTGGAGAAATTAAAACCCAGATCTGTAATGTTTATTCTTAGATAGTTTACAAAAAGCGAAAAATGTGTGAGACACATGTCTGCAAATATAACAAAAGTACTTTCCCTTATGCTTAAAAAAGTTGTATGCAAATGGCATCATTTTACCAACTCTACACCACCTGTACTTTGCAGTGAAACTAAATCGGGTCACGCAAAAAGCACCAATCAGATCTAGCAATTAAATGCCAATTATAACTATTAATGAGTTTATTACCAATGATTACAGTTAAGGAATCTAAACTTGCCCACAGTAATCAAGTACTTTTTTTTTTAGCTCTTGTTTTAAAACACTACTACTAGAATTTTCAAAAATCTAACCCCTACTCCCCTCTCAAAAAGAAAGAAATGGTGGAGAATATGTTTTTACATTTCTCTCCAGTAGTCAGCCATGGTCAGTGCTGGACTTATTAGTTTTTGTAAAGTTTATTGCTACTTCGTGTAAACGGAAACTTAGTTCCTTAGAGTGTCGGGTTACCAAAACGTGTAATTGACTATGTAAGCTACAACATCACTTCCCTGGATTGTAAAGCGAGGGGAATCTTCTCCCATTCCTTTGGTAACGTCGGAAACTAGGAAGATTTGAATGAAGGAGTGTTTAAGACTTAAAACGTAGAAATTAATGTAGGGAAGATTGGGAGGTGGGGAAGAGGAGCGGAAGGGTAGGAAAGCAGAAGAAAGTGCTTGCTTCCCCTTACTTTCCCCTCACAAATCCCCATCCTTAAAAATGGGTTTGGCCTGTCACAAGTCCAGCAGCTGTTTGAAAGGCAAATACCCCCAAACAAAACAAAACAAAACAAAAAAAAGTGGAGGGTGTGGTGAGTCCGAAATTGTAAGGTCTTGTGTGGTTGCCACCTTTATTTTTCTTACTATCCTTCGATGCTAGTGTGGGTTCTCCTCCTTTACTATCGCCTCTTTCTATATCGTTGGTTCTTAGTGACATACCGATTTTTACCCAAAATCCAAGTTAGTTAGGGGAAAAGAGGGAAAGGGGAGCCAGGGAGATGGGGAGAGAGAGAGAGAGAGAGAGAGAGAGAGAGAGAGAGAGAGAGAGAGAGAGAGAGAGAGAGAGAGAGAGAGAGAGAGAGATAAAGAAAGAAATAGATTGCCTCTAGGATTCAGAGCCAGAAAGGAGGGGGCAGCTTTTTCCGTGGCTTGCAGCCACTCACCGTGAAGCAGGCTGTGGGCAATTGGGCGTTCAGAGAAAGGGCTGGCGGGTCAATAGGGTGGAGGTCACCTCTGCTCTTTACTTCATATCTCAGCCCATTCTCGTTGGCCTTTTAGACCACTGGGTGCGTTAAAGCGATGAACCTACATTCTATCTTATTTTAGACAACTCCTCCTGAATATCAGCTCGCTTGGTGGAGCTAAGGCAGCAGACATCTGGTTCTGATGTATTTCCCATGTTGGTAGGGAAGTACCTAGGCTGAGATGGCAGAAACATGAGCCGCTTGCAAGAAGTGAGCTCTTTTACCAGGCAGTGTAAAAGTTTTGACAATTTCAGAGCCCTTGGTATTAAGCACATTCCCAAGGCAAGAGGGTATAACTTCATTTACCTGCTCTTTGGGGCTGTTGAGTGTAGCCTAGAAATTGTCAGGGAACAATGAGGCAAAGAGTTCCAGCCTCAGACGAGCCAAGAATTATAGCAGAGAAGAGACCCTTTTTTGAAAATGGGCGGGCAGATATTAATATCGATCAAACAACTGGATGGTTAGGGAAAAGAAAAAAAACTTTCTTCAAAGAAGGAAGAACATTTGCATTCTCTATTCACGAACAATCCCAGATCAGGCATCTATTGCCTATGCCTCACATATTAGTACCCTGTGAGTGAGGCATGGATCAGAAAATCAAACCTATCAAGTCTTTCAACTGAATAGCAGCCCCATCCTCAGAATGTAAGCCCAACAAAATAGCTTGATTCTGTTTAAAAACAAACAAAAAACAAATATCACAGCAACAACCCAAAAAACAACAACCACAAAAACTTGGTGACCTGCTGCAGATTCACAAGATCAGCGCAAGCATGCTTAGATAGGATCAGAGCTAGCACCTATGATGATGTGCAGCTCAGGGTAGGTCAGGGTACTGTTGGCCATAGAAGGTGAAGAGAGAAGGGGGATGGACCTGCTAAAATCAGGAGAATTTGCAGACAATTTTTATGCATTTTCTTTTTCTCTTTCAATCAACCTCAGGCTGAGTAAATGGAAAACATCCAAAGAGCAAAAGAGGGAAGAGGATTCCTTTGGTCTGGTTTTGTGTTTTTGTCTTGTTCTTCCACCTAGATGCCCTCTTCAAAGTTACATAAGAATTGGAAACAGTAAAATAAATTGCTTTAATTGATGATGTGCCATTACCCGGCCACACAGGTATTAGTGGGTCCTTTTTACAAAGCTACTCCTGTGCAGGATTTTCCTCAGGAACCTTCAGAAAGTGTCAAGGTCAGTAGCTGGGAAGTTTTCAATAGGCCTGTTTGCTGAGAAACTGACATTTTCTAAGAGTTGAAGATGTCTTTTTCTTGTTTTACAACTTATTTTTTATTTTAGTTGGCATCTGAAGAGTAAACAAAGCTCTCCATCCTACATTTGAGAGTTAATAGTTGGCTAATAACCCCTCCATAGAAAGACTTTGTTATCTCTTTTAAAACCATCTCTAGCCCTAACCACCTCCTCCCCTCTGAGACACATAACCTATACATATTGATTGGTGGGAGGACAGGACGTTAAAAAAAAAGAATAACTTAGTCCAAAGATGACTATACATATCTTTGGATTAAATTTATACACACACATATACATACATACATGCATATATATGTACATATCTTTCTGTCTAGGACACACACACTTATTTCTAGACAGGAAGAGATTTATTCGTTAAAAAAAAATGTTTGTATGCATGTGTGTCCTAAACAGGAAGAGATTTATTCTAACCTTAAATTCCTCTATGCCAGAAATGGACTTCTAATTTCATGAAATTCTTTTCAGTATTCCCCTTTTCCCATAGCTTTTTAAAGCTGTATAGCTAATAACAATAGCTGGCATTTATATGGTGATTTAAGGTTTGCAATGTGCTTTACATAAGTTATCTCATTTGATCCTCACAATAATTCTGTGAGGAGGTGCTGTTATTATCCCCATTCTACAGATGAGCAAACTAAAGCCTATCTGTAAAGTTAAGTGACTTCGCTTGGGTCACACAGCTAGTAAGTATCCAGGGAGGATTGCAACTCAGGTCTTCTGACTTCAAGTCACCTACCTAGCTGATAGGATTTTAAAGGGTACTGTGTGATGCAGTTTATATCAGCAACTCTTCCTACCACTCCCCTCAATACAATATTATAGTTGGAGAACTAGGTGGGGGATATTTCCCTCTTTGGTCCAGGATACTTGACCAGGCATAGATACACCATTATGCTGCACAAAATGCAATAAATGAGCAGCCAAAAATCCTTATTTGCGATTGTGTTTAACTGGTATCACTTTGAGACTTACTGTCCCTTTCCAGCAGTAGGGTAGAAATGCATGAAAAAGTTTTCTTAGGTTTCAGAAAGGGGAGTATAATTTAGGTCTGAGCAGATGACTCTGACCAGACACACTTCTAGGGTTAGGGCTTCATTCTAGGCTTCTCCCACAAAACTTTCCCTGGGAAATTTTGGGATGATAGATGAGTAATGCAAAACAGTCCAGTTTTACATCTCTAGAAAGTAGGAAACATTTTCATTTGTTAGCTTAAATTAAAAAGGTTTGAATGGGCTCAAGGGTGAGTGTTTCACAGTAATGTTTTTTTTTTTATTGACCACATTTTGATATAGTGAGTCATTTTTACAAAGCTACTTTTGTGCCAGGATTTTCTCAGGAACCTTCAGAAAGTGTCACCCACTTTCCCTTCCCCTATCCCCTTCAAAAGTCTTGGCCTGTCCCACTTTGCCCTAAAGCACATAAAGAATGACCTTGGGATCTAGGTCAGAGTTAATCTGGCAATAGCCATCTGGACTTCAATTCTACTCCTGAAATCTATGCCTAATCTATCTCTTCTCTCTATCAGAAGTCTTATTACCTGAGACTCTATTCTCAAAGCACTTTTCCTGCTTTCTCAGAGAATGAGATAGAAAGGAAGTGGGAAATCCTGAAAATAGGGATTTGGGGTTTCTTAAGGTAAAGGGTAGTTAGAAGATTGTACATCCTGAAGGCACTGAAATCAGAGGGACATATCCAGGTAGGAGATGACAGACTTTTTCTTCTTCTTTTTTAATCTTTGAGATTAGAGCCAAACACTTCTTTTGATAGATTTCAGTGCTTTTCTCACCAGCCTAGACATAGGGTTGGGTGGGGTGAAAAGAGTTTAAGTCACTGACAAAAGCACTTCTATGTCCTTGTTTCCCATATCTGTTTTTTTCTTCTAGGGTGGCAAAAATGGTTTGGATTGTGGGTGGGAAATATGATGAAGGTTAGGAGTTAAAAAGAAAACTTATGCTACTCAAGATGTTAGGAAAGAGGGGAAAAGGCGATGGTTCTCTGTTGAATTGGTTTCAGATATTTGAGGGCATGTGGGTGTGTAGTGAAGAAAGCTGGGGCCACATTTCTCACATAAAGCATCCTGACTATTTAATTTGTAAAGTCCACTGTAAATTAAACATCCCCACCCCTTCCACTTCTCATGGCTTGATTATTAACATTTCCATCTTTCTCTTTCTTGTTCTCTCTCTCTAACCATGGTCATTAGGAGAAGTAGCCACACAGGACGTGAAAGAGTCTCAGCAGGGCAAGAAAGTACCAGGACTGCTTAGGACAGAGCCAGGATTCCTGGAGCACTCTGTCTTTGGCATCACTGCCCCCAGAAGGCATATTCCTGCCTGTGACCTAAAACAAGTCCAAACCAGCTACCTAACTGAAGTCAACTCCAGTCGCCTCTCACAGTACTACCAGTACCCCTAGTTCGCCTGACAACAAAAAACCCAGCAAGTCTCTGCTTGAACTAGCTTGGAAGCCAAGCCAAACCAACACCAGAGTCACCAACCCACATCATTCGGTCAGTTTGGAAACAGAAGGGGCCAGACCCTCTCCCATCTCCTAACAGCCTCACCAAAATGGATAGATTCTTAAAGCCCAACAGACACCAGAGTGCCATTTAAAACCTAGGCACGTTTTTGGAGCCCAAGGGAACAATTGACTAGATTCAGTGTCTCTGGAACTGGGTACATGCCTGTAAGGTGTGTGATCCTTTAAAGATCCGTGTTACTAGCTTTGCATGAAGGCTTTGTTACAGCTTTGTCAGCTTGCTTGCATTCAGCAACCTTGCTCCCACCCCCACCCTCCCTTTTCCTCTTCTCCCCTCAACTGCCTATTCTAGCAATGCCTGGCTGAGTTGTTTTGAAGCTCCCCTTTAAATACATTTCATGCGAAAGTTGTATGCTGACTATGCACTGGGTCTCCCTTTGGGAACCGTGGTCTCCCTTTGCTTGTTGCAAATAAACAGGATTTTTACTCCCAGCCTATTAGTTTCAAATAGTTGGCT